ATGGCCTCAGAACCCACTTGAAAAGCTGGTTAAAGGTATGTCTGGTGGAGCAAAGAGAAGGAGTGGGGGCCTGGGAATGGCCTACTGAGAAGCGAGGCCCAGTATTTGTAACAGCATGGGCACAAAGGCAGTCAGCACTTGCTAAACTTGGGTGCTCTGTGATTTACAGCCTTGGCTATAACACCTATTTCCCATGTAGTAAGACTACCTGCTAGGGTGGGAGTGAGTAAAGGGGACCCAGGGTGGCTCTCCCTTCCAGGTTATGGCAGGTTATTAAAATGCTGCTCTCAGGGTTTTCCGCTCACATAAGCAGAAGATGGTCGAAAGGAGCTGCCTAGCTAAGGAGAGCTAACTCATTAATTTTAAAAACTACTAAACAGGGCCTAGAAATGGCCCGGTGTTTAAGAGCACTACTGCTCTTGTGGAGAATTCAGTTCCTGGTACCCACATCAGGTAGCTCACAAGTGCCTATAACCTTGGCTGTAGGGGAGCTGACACCTCCTGAACTCCACATTGCACATTCACATATCACATAGACACATAATTTAAAAAATAAATTAAGAAACTACAAGTGGCCACACAGTTTTCATTCTGTCATAAAATTCTCTGTTTCCCTCCCTCCCTCTCTCCTTTTCTGTCAGAAACAGGGTCTCTTTATGTATCTCTGGATAGTTTGGAACTCATTGTGTAGACCATGCCAGCCTTGAACTCACACAGGGCTGCCTGTCTTTGCCTCCAAAGTGCTGGAATTAAAGGTATGCGTGCTATGTGGTTGTTTTTATTCTTTGAGGGTCTGCCACCCAGCTCCCAAATAAACACATGGTGTGTTATTCTAACTTATGAATGCCCTGACTTAGATTTGCTCATTTCTAGCCTGCTTTTCTCTTTTTTCTTTTATTTATTTATTTTTCTTATTTTACATATCAATCCCAATTCCCCCTTCCTCCCTCCCTCCTCTCTCCCTCCTTTCTTCCTTCCCTCCCTCCCTTTCTCCCTCCTCTGCCCCCCAACTACCCTCCCATCCCATCCCCCCCCCACTTCACAGGGAGGGTGATGCCTTCCAGGAGGGATCAAGTCATTTGGAGTAGGGACTAGGCCCTCCCTCCTGCCTCTAGATTAAGGGAGTATCCCTCCATGGGGAATATGCTCCCAAAGTCCTTTTTTCACCAGGGATACATCCTGGTTCCACTGTCAGAGGTCCCTTAGACTTCTTAGGACTTCTGAGTCCCATGTTCAGGGGGTCTGAGTCAGTCCAATGCTGGTTTCTCATCTATCAGTCTGGGGGCCCATTAGCTCCCCCTTGTTCAGGTCAGCTGTCTCTGTGGGTTTCTGTAGCCTGGTCTTGTCCTCCCTCTCTGCATCTGGATCAGTGTTTAGCTGTGGGTGTCTGCTTCTGTTTCCATCAGCTACTAGATGAGGGCTCCATGATGGTGGATGAGTTAGTCATCAATCTCATTATCATGGAAAGGCATTTATGGTAGCCTTTCCACTGTTACTCTTCTCTCTCTCTCTCTCTCTCTCTCTCTCTCTCTCTCTCTTTCACCCTTTCCCCCCTCTCTCTTTCTCTCGCTCCCTCTCTTTTGCTCATCTCTATTTCTCCCCTGACTCAATCTTCCTAGTCCCATGTGCTTTCCTCTCCTCCCCTTTTCTTTCTCCTAGCTCCCTCTCCACTCACTGCCCCCCCCCCACTCCCAATATGCTCAGGAGCTCTTGTTCCTTTCCCCTTCTGTGAGGGACCTTGTATGAATCCCTTAGGTTCCTCCTTATATCCTAGTTTCTCTGGTGGCGTGAATTATAGGCTGTAGCCAGCTTTTCTTAAATTACACTTCTACACTTTTACTCTATTCTATATGTCTTTCTTCTTACTCTATTGCTGACTGGGTGGCTGGCCCCTGGCATCCTCCTCTCTCCCTTCTTCCCCCTTTCTTTCATTTATTCTCTCTGCCTGCCAGCCCCACCTATTTCTCTCTCCTGCTGAGCTATTGGCCATTTAGCTCTTTATTAGATCAATCAGGTGTTTTAGACAAAGTAACACAGCTTCACTGAGTTAAACAAATGCAACATAAAAGAATGCAGGACATCTTTGCATGATTAAGCAAATATTCCACAGCATAAATGAAAGTAACACATCTTAAAATAATATTCTACAACAGATGCCTAGCTCAGTTGTTTTTTAAAGATGTCTTGTAATAGATCTGGGAATGTAGCTCAGTAGTAGGGTTCTTGAATTGGAATCAATAATATGTATAAATGTATGTTAATTGGTGAGAAGAAAGTGATTTGTGGTTATATGAATTGTTTTGCTGTATATTGCACAAATAATTAGATATATAATAAATATTTGCTTAACCATGTATAAATGTATATACTTATTTATAAATGTATATTGCTTAGGCATTCCAGAGAACTGGATTTTCAATAATTGTTACATTTAAGTATTTTCTTCCTCTATTTAGACATTAATACAATTTTTTTACTTTCATTTTTTATAGTATGAACTCACAGCAACTTACAGCAAAGAATTAATTGATCTTAAAAATCTAATGTATCTTTGTTCCTTCCTATACCTTCCCTCCCTTTTTGTTCTGTTGAACAGGAACTTGCTGTATACTCCTTGCTGACCTTGAACTTGTGATCCACTTTCTAAGTGTTGGGATTACAGGCATATGATATTGCTCAGCTTTGTTTGCTTTTCTTAATTTTTTTCTGATTTATTTTATGCGTATGAGTGTTTGCCTGCATGTAAGTGTGTGCATTGTGTGTTCCTGGTATCTACACAGGCCAGAAGAGGGTGCTGGACTCCCTGGAACTGGAGTTGTAGAGGGCTGGCTATGAGCTGCTGTGTGAATTTAGGGAACTGAATCCTTTCCCAGAGCAGCCAGTGCTCTTAAGGGATGAGCCATCTCTCCAGCCCCATGTTTGCTTTTTAGCAAATTATTTACATTTGTAAATAATTTATATGTGTTTGTAAATAATTTGCATGTGATAATATTACAGTATCACTTACATTGCAGTAGTTATATTGTATGGTGATGTATTTGGTTATAATTATCTTATTTTTGACCACCTGGATCATTAGTATTTTTATTTCTCATTATTGGAAGAGAGTGCTGACATAAACATTTTAGGCATTTCCCCTCAAATCAGAATCGTCAAAGGCCAAGAACGAGTTCATAACTGTTGTTACACATTGCCAGATTATTATTATTATTTTTTTTTAGAAAGACTGAGGTGATTTGGCATGCCACTACCCATACATAAAGCAGTCTCAGGTTGGACAGTTTACACAGTCTGAGTGAGAAATGTAATCACACTTTACCTGGAGGCCTAGCTGTAAATATAGTTCTCACAGGTAGACTCAACAGATGGACTTCGAATCATAGCACTGGCAAAGCACAAGCTAATTTGTCCTTCAGAACACAGAACCTTCAAGTTGGGAACTTTGTGGGCTGGAGAGTGTGGTGTTGAAATAAAAGCCCCTTTAGGACCAGTGTGTTACTGTGTTCCTCTATGCAGATGTTCTCAAAGTAAGCTCAGTAGGCCTGCAGGAAATTCTGCAGCACCTGAGAAGGTGTAGGGTAGTAGCTGCTCTCAGGAGGTAGGAGGCAAGAGGATGTCCTGTGGTTGCCTCATGGCTACCCGTCAATGGGTTATATGTCATTTGGATAGCTGCTCAAGAAATGCCCTTCCTCATGAAAAATGTCAACTCATAAGTGTTGGGGGTCACCGTTTCCTTTGTGAAACAGTATTATCAATTTTATGATGAAAATTGATAGAGATCACAGATAGTGTGGAAATGCATTCATTCTGTCAGGATATAATTACTGGTCCTCAAAGATACTTTCTCCTGCTTTTGACAGGTGAGAAATGGAGACTTTTTCCTGAGAAATAATTTCCCTTATTGCTCATGCATGCTGACATGGCATTGTATATTTTCCAGCTTCTGCAACAACTTGGAAAAAACTGTTACCTAAATACAGAACATGTAACAACACATCATAGAGCTGGGCCAGGAGGGAACCGCTGAAGGCAAACATTGCATTATATGCTGTTCAGAGAAGCAAACAGAAGCAAAGATAGAGTCATTGGTAAAATGTCAGGTAGTTTAAAAATACCAGGTGGAGTGTTTTAAAGGTAGTGAATTGGATGGGATTATCATAGATAGCCTATGTCACTAAGGTAAATGGAAGTTAAGATAAAAGTTGTTTACATTTCCAGGCACCCAAGTAGAAGTATCCATGGGCAGTGAGGTCAGGAACTTCAGATTCCAGCAGTGGGAAGGAAAAGAAATAAACCAGGGAAGTGGCATGACTATACAGATACTGACAATCTATTTACCTTACCCATGGCTTAGGTAGTGTCTAGTTTTGTTTCATTAACTATTTCTATCACTGTGTCCAAAATTTTTGTATCACTCCAAACTTAAGAAGTTTGTTTTATAATTTATTATCTGAGAGGTATTTATTGATTTACTTATTTATTTTGGCTAAAAGTACAAGATACTTTTACTCCAGGTTTTGGTTCTTTCTGTTAGAAACCAATTCCACTTGCTATGCTTACCCTTTCTCATCTTCTATTAATTGTTCTATTGCTGTGCTGGTTGGAGAGGGAAGGTGCCCATCCAAGTGGAGAAGTGAGTCATGGTGTTTGTCAAGAGCATGTAAGGATCTACATTGTTCTGCTGAAGTCTGTAGAACAACTTCATTTACCGGAGAATGTGGATAGTCAGGTTTCCCTTCACTTGTTAAATGCATTTGAAACTTTAAAAAGGCAATGCTATGTTATAGATAGTTTAGAGGAAAAGTAACTTGTTTTCTCTTTGAATATAAAAGTAATTACTAATTTTGAATTTTAGGGGCCTTAACTTTTGTACTAGTGGTCTCTAGATAATTAGAGATATCTTATGTTTAATGGCTGCTGTGTTTTGTAAAAATCAGTGGTAGTGTGTTTTGGGAATTATGGTGAACAGCAATGGATGACAGGTGGTTGACATGTTGCAGGTTGTGAAGATCTTAGAGAAGCATGACCCCTTGAAGAACACCCAGGCAAAATATGGGTCCATCCCCCCAGATGAGGCCAGTGCTGTGCAGAACTATGTAGAGCACATGCTGTTTCTGCTCATTGAAGAACAAGCCAAGGATGCTGCGATGGGGCCCATTCTGGAATTTGTGGTCTGTGAGAACATTATGGAGAAGCTCTTCCTTTGGAGCTTGAGACGGGAATTCACCGATGAAACCAAAATCGAGCAGCTAAAGATGTATGAGATGTTGGTCACCCAGTCATACCAGCCTCTGCTGCATCATAAGCCCATCCTGAAACCGCTGATGATGTTGCTGAGCTCCTGTTCAGGAACAGCCACCCCTGCTGTGGAGAGGAAGCTTGTTGTCCTGCTCAACCAGCTCTGCTCCATCCTTGCCAAAGATCCATCCATTCTGGAACTCTTCTTCCACACCAGTGAGGACCAGGGGGCCGCCAACTTCCTTATCTTCTCTCTTCTGATACCCTTCATTCATCGAGAGGGCACAGTAGGCCAGCAAGCTCGGGATGCTTTGCTGTTTATCATGTCTCTCTCTGCTGAGAACAGCATGGTGGCCAATCACATTGTGGAGAATACCTACTTCTGTCCAGTAAGTCCCTTTCCTGGCTGTGCTTTCCTCCCATCTCACCCATTTCCTCTCATGTGACAATAGTAAATGATTTTCCATTTATTCCAAGTTGTTCCTGTCATGGAAAGATGTTCAGAGGAACTGGCTTGGAGGCAGCAGAGGTATCCAAGTGTCAAAGCTAGAATTTGGGTTAGCAGTAGTAGGTCAAAATATAACTCTAGACTTGCAACCATTTCTCAATTCATTTTTATTGTGTTGGGAACATTTTTTTATTTTTTTTTTCTAAGAGTATATGTGTAGAGGTTGGTAAAGCTTGCACTTTGAAAACTTTCAGGTTGACTTTGCTCCACCGATTCAAGGCATGTGGTAAGATCCCCCACAGCTACTTTCACAAATTAATTTGTTTCTCAGCAAGATAATGGCTGTTAGTTATAGGTCTAAAGCATTGATTTTATTTTTAAAAAATGAATACATATTTCCAGAAAGAAAAAAATTCTCTACTTCATACAGTTTATTAATCCATGGCCTGGAAACAAAGTGGTACATGTTGGAGTAGCCAATGCCCAGTCAGCACCAGGAAAAGATGGGAGCAGTATGGATTTCTCAGGGGTTCATAGGTCTCTGGTTAATTTTGGTTGAATAATAGCTATCAATACTGTCTGAGCCCAGTGAACATTGCTATTGTCTATTCTTTTTATTAGTATTTATAAATCATGTAGCCTTGCATATGTGGCATAGTTTGGAAAGTCCTGGTGAGTTTTTTTGGAATAGACAAGGCAAGTTGCTATGGGTAGATAAGATTTTTTTGTTGTTGTTAGTAAACACCATATGGGTGATTTTAGACCAGGAGTAACATACTTCCTAAAAGACATTTAGAAATGTATGTGGGGGTGGGGATGTCTGCTTAGCATGGAGATAGGATGATCATATAGAGGGGTTCATGGGAACAGGCCATAGGAACAATACCAAGTGCAGGCAAGGATGTGGGAATAGGGATTCATTTATATACATACATACATACATACACACACACACACACACACATACTGGTGGGGATGCAAATTGGTATTGCTACTTTGGAAGACAGTTTGATAGTTTCTTTTCTTTTTAAAGTGTATTTACTTATTCATTTTTATGTGCATGGGTATTTTGCCTGCATGTATGTCTGAGCATGCATGTCGTGCCTGTGGAGGTCAAGAGGGCATTTAGTTCTCTGGACCTGAAGTTACAGGGTATTATGAATCACCTGTGGGTTCTGGGAATCGAACCCAGGTCCTCTGGAAGAACATTCAGTGTTCTTAACTACTGAGCTGTATTTCCAGTCCTGACAGTTTTTTACAAAACATACTGTTATATGCTTTCCTTGGTATTACACAAAGGAGTTAAAACTTATATCCACACAAAAACCTGAACATGGATGTTTCTAGCTGCTTATATTTTTTTAAAATTGTAGAAGCAACTAAGATATTATCTTAGTTGAAAATATTAATCAACTAAAAGAAATGACCTAACAAATCATGGAAAGACCATGGGAACCTTAAAGACATACCACCAAGTTGAAAGAAGGCAAACTGAAAAGGCTGTATGCTGTTTGAGTCCAGTGGATGGCATGATAGAAAGGAAAAAACTATGGTATTAATAACATGAGAAGCATCTTCCAAAGTAGGCAGGCAAAACATGGGGTTTATTAGGGTAGTGAAAATATGCTCTGTGGTACTCTTAATGTGAATACATGCCACTGTATATTTGTCCATAGGGCGGAATAGGTTTGTGCTGATTGTTGGCACTGCGTATTGATTGAACCCAGACCCTCATGCATGCAGTCTCTCACTCAGCCCTGCACCCAGCATGTGCTGTGGTAGTTTTTGAAAACTATCCAGAATATTCTGTAGAAACTATAGCAAAACAATAAAGTCTGAAAAGTATTGCTGGTAGTTTTCAATTCTATTATTTTCTGCTTATCTGTAATACTTCAAAATCTAAAAATTGAAATATATCAAGAGAAGAATTTGGTTGTGGTTTTAATGTTTAAGTTTCCATTAACTGTGTTTAAGCTGATTTCACTAATTGTTGCTTTTATAAAACATGCACTTTAAAACATTGTACAGTTCATTAAAATTGGAGGGAAAACAACATTGCCAGCTGACCTTATTTGCTAAAATGGAAGACAAGTTTCTTGTGTTAGTTTGTCCCTCAGGATAGAGCCCATAATCTCTTTTATACCCAGTTTTCCATAATTACATCTGACAACATAATTAAAATAAAAAGGCCCCTTTATATTGCAGATAAAAGCCTACTCTATTAACCAACCAGCTAAGGGCCACAATTGACAAAGAGCTTTCTCTAATTAGTATGATTGTCAAAATGTGTTAGTATCAGGCTGTTGGAAGAGTAATGACTCTCTTAGCAAATTAGACCTCTTTTGGAAACTTTTGTCTTCAAAGTTGATAAAAGAGCTGGCTGGTTCTGCTCTCTCATGTCATAGAGAGCAATCTGGTAGCAACAAATGGTTGGACACTAAATGATCCTATTTCCCTTTTTTTGGTTTTTTTTAACCAAATGTTGATGGTTACACTTAGACCATGCATCACATGTTGGCAAAGAGATCAAACTTAGTATACATAAGTCAAACAATGCAAATCAAAGTGGCAACCTTTAGGTACAGAGCCATAGGTATCCAGAATTTATGAGGTCTTTTATTTTGGCAAGTTGTATCAAATGGTATCTAACAGGTGTTTTGCTATTAGCTTCCCACCAAAGCTATCTGCTAAAAATCTTTGTTTTTGCTAAAATTAACCGAGCACCATGGGATGTTTAAAGATCGACTTTAACTTGCTCACTGCTGTGTGCTTGGCTTGCCCTTCCTCCATCGCCATGTGCAAACCATTGCACTAATCATGTATAGGTTATTTTCTTTAATCCTTACAATAGCTCATTTAAGTTTAGAAAGTTTAGTAACCACCAGTTAATAGCAGAATCTGGCTCAAAAACACATTTGTCTGATACTAAAACTGCTTGTTGTAGCATTACCACACCAGACTGTCAAGAAGTTATTGCTTTTTACTGCTGCTATCCATATGGTCCTATATGGTAATCTTTCCTTTTCTTGTCTTCTCTCTCTCTCTCTCTCTCTCTCTCTCTCTCTCTCTCTCTCTCTCTCTCTCTCTCTCTCTGTGTGTGTGTGTGTGTGTGTGTGTGTGTGTGTGTGGTGTGTTCCCGTGCACCTGGGCTTGATGTCAGCTTTCCTCCTTGATCACTCACCCTTATCTTTGCGCTGAAGCTGGTCATTGTCATTTTGGCTAGTCTAGCTGTCTAGCTTGCTCCAGGATTCCCTGTCTCCACTTTCTGAGCACTGAAATTATACTCATCACACCTCCTTGGCTTTTGTGTGGTGCTGGGGATCAGGACCCTGGCCTCACATTTATGCAGCGATGATGTACCTGCTGAGTCATCTCTCAGCCCATGATAATTTCATTTAAAAATACTTATGGGACATGATAAGTGAAAAGTATTTGGTTGATTTTAATAAATTGAAAATAAGCAATGTTTCACAATTTTTGTAGTTAGAATCAATAAAAGGCTGAAAGAGTTTATGGACACTTTATTTTTAATTAGCTGTTGAATGCAGACATAGGTGCCTTTTTATAATTTGGTTTTCAAGTTACACAGTGAAATTTGAAAGAAAATCACTTTTGATGTTAGTTCTTGAATCTAGGAACAAAACAAAACAGAAAATAAACACTGCTTACACATCTCCTGTTGCCTCTCTTCCTCTGGTCCTGCTGTCTCGGACCGTGTTCTCCAGGGTCTTGTTTGTGATCCTTGGCTTGGAGGTTGGCCTCTCCTTCTCTCCTGGCCTGACTTGTTCCCCCTCTAAGCACCACCCTTGCTTATGAATGGCTCAGAGCCCATGTTCTAGAACTGTGTGTAATCTACCTAAATGAGTCTGAACTCAAAGCCTTGGAAGGGGATGCAGTTGTTAATAGCTGTGAAGACTCACACTCCTGTCTTGAAGAATGTGTAGTGCTTTTAATTTTTCAGAATATTTCTCTTATTTTTTGTTTGTTTGTTTTGTTTTGTTTTGTTTTGTTTTGTCATTCTGAGGAAAATAGCTGGGCTAATTCCTAGCCCTATTTTATAGTGGCAGGACCCTGGTGGGGACACCCTGCCCTAGCAGCTGTCACTTCTGCATAGGGTGTGTCTTTCTGTCTGGGCAGGTTTCCTTCTGCTCATATCCCAGTCATACCCTTTTGGAATATTCACTTTAAAAGTGAGTATTAGGTATGTGTTATTTTTAATTACTGTCACTGATGTATGTAATTTGAAAATTAATGTTGCTGTAATTATATTGATATACTAAATAGTTATTCCCAGCTTTTTAGTCAGACAAATTAGGCTTGTCTGTATGAATTCATCTTCAGAGCCTCAACGTGGTTAAGAAACTAGGAGAACACAGAATTAAAGTCTTTGTTCTGTGGTTAATTTAGCATGAGTTAGCAAATGTAATTGACTTTAAAACGTAGCATCAAGATTAGGCTTCTTTTCTAGGAGGACTTTGGGCTCCATATGCTTTTGTCAGAGGTTTCTAATTTATAACAGAGAACTCATTTGGGTCACATTCACAACTAGTATTAAAGTGATTTGTATGGGTATGTTGACAAGGAATTAAGCACTTTAAATAGAGGACATTTTCCTTGGGGAACCACAGATGCCCTGATTTTTAAAGAGATAAAGGATCAATCTTGCTTACTGCTTTGTTTCCTATACTTAGCACCAGACCTAAAATTAAGTAGTCAGGATATTTTTTTTAATGAGTGAGTTAATGTATGGGTGAATAAAGGTTACTAGGAAATAGAACAAATAAATATATCTGTATTATCTCTAGTGTTGATACGGTCCATCTGTTTCTCTCTTTGTCCTTTATTCTATAGTGTGGGCTCCTATACCATCTCAGCTCCTTGTTTCTCCTTGGGTTTCTTTGTGCTAAGACCTCTCAGGCCTATGTTCTCTTATCATTGAATTCATTGTGTTACTCTAGTTAGTTTTGGATTTGGTGGTGGTGGTGGTATTGTGTGTGCCCCCCCCCCTTTTTTTGGATTTTGGTAATGTAGGATATCTATTGCCTGTGTGTTTGTGAGTGTAGTTAACTTCCTTGGATTGAAGTTTTCATTTCAGTATTTTCTGTAGGGCTGGATTTGTGGATATGTATTGTTTAGATCTGGTTTTGTCATAGAATATCTTGTTTTCTCCATCTATAGTGATTGAAAACTGCTGGGTATAGTAGTCTGAGCTGGCATCTGTGATCTCTTAGTGTTTGTAGGATCTCTATGCAGTCTATCCAGGATCTTTTGGCTTTCAGAGTTTCCACGGATAAGTCAGGTATAATTCAGGTATCTCTGTCTTTATATGGTACTTGACATTTTTCCTTTGCAGCTCTTACTATTCTTTCTTTATTCTGTATGTTAGGTGTTTTGATTATTATGTGTTGAGGGGTCTTTTTTCTTTGGTCCAGTCTATTTGGTGTTCTGTAAGCCTCTTGTACTTTCATAGGCATGCCTTTCTTTAGGTTGGGAAAGTTTTCTTCTATGATTTTGTTGAATATGTTGTCTACATCTTTGAAATGGGCTTCTTTGCCTTCTTCTATACTTATTAGGTTTGGTCTTCTCACAGTGTCCCACATTTCCTGGATATTTTGTGCTAAGGATTTGTTGGACTTAACATTTTCTTTGGTTGATGACTCTATTTCCTCTAGTGTATCTTCAACACCTGAGATTCTCTCTTCTGTCTCTTGTATTCTGTTGGTTATGCTTGTATCTGTAGTTCCTGATCATTTACCCAGCTTTTCTATTTCCAGCATTCCCTCAGTTTGTGTTTTCTTTATTGTCTTTATTTCAGCTCTACTTCAGTTTTCAAGTCTTGAACCATTTGAATTGTTTCCTTCATCTGTCAGGTTTTTTGGGGTTTGTTGTTATTGTTTGTTTTTGGCTTTCCTTGCTTTCTTTGAGAGATTTGTTGATTTCTTGCATTTTTTGGTTTGGTCTTTCCCTCCATTTCTTCCAATTTTTTTGTTTGTCTTTCATTTCTTTAAGGGATTTTCTCATTTCCCTTTTAAGGACCTCTATCATGTTCATAAAGTTGTTTTTAAGGTTGTTCTCTTCTGCTTTATCTGCATAGGATGTTCAGGTCTTGCTGGTGTAGAACCCCTAGCCTCTGATGGTGGCATATTACTCTTTATGTTGTTGAATGTGTTCTTATACTGTCATCTTCCCATCTCTTCTTTCAGTGGGTGCAGGCGGGTCCTCTCCCAGTGGGTGCGGGGCCAAGGCTCCACTGGCTGCTGCTGCTGGATGGTGTGGGTTGCCAGCAGGTCTCTGGGGATTCGGTGGGCAGGACAGAGCTACCTGCCCTGGTCAAGGGCCTCTAATGGGGAGGTGGCAGGAGAAGGCCAAGTACTCACCTCTCCTTGTGGGTACAGGACCAAGGCTCCAGTGGCTATAGCTGCTGGATGGTTTGGGCTGCCAGCAGGTCTCTCATTGTGTTACTCTTGGAAGGTCACATCTGAGAGTCAACACACCTGACTGTATCAATCATCCATCTCTGCAGTGTAGAGTGATGTGACCAAGTCAAACCAGGAGAGAGAGAGAGAGAGAGAGAGAGAGAGAGAGAGAGAGAGAGATAGAGAGAGAGAGAAGACAGATAGTAACTAGTATATGCCAGAGAGGTAGCCACCTCACCAAGGAGAGAGGAGAGGTAACAGTAGGTCTGTTTTTCTCCTGGACTTGAACATTTCTGTCTGCAAGCCTTCTCTGTATTTTGTTCCCAGTGCCAGGCTCTGTGGATTATTTCACCTTTCTTACTTTCCACGGTCTTCCTTTCCTCATCCTCTTTGGTTTTATTCTCAAGTGCCACCTCCACAAGGATAGCTCTAGATGCCCACCTCTAGCCCAGAGCCCCCTCCCAGGCATCAGACCCACATAGCTGTCCATAAGGCTCTCCATCCAGATGTCTCACAAGCTTTCTGTGCAGGGCCACAGAACCCTGCAGGGTGTTCGTATGACCAGTCCTCTCTGTTCTGACAGAGCTGGGATTCTTAGTCCTGAGGATACAGTTTCTTCTTTCTCCATTCAGCTCTTGTACAGGCTTTCCTCTGCTTGAAATATTTTTCCTTCTATCATTTATTTTCTGGCTAGCTCCTGTTTACTCTTCAGCACCCTAGACAGTACTTCTAAGACCAGTTTCCATTTTCACCCCCTATCCTCAAGTCAGAGTGAAGAGCTTTTTGCATGTCACAGTGTCCCAAATTTGCTATTGTGTGTTGCGAATGTTTCTAACACTATTATAATTTCTTGTTTGTCTCTCGATGGGCTGGGAGATCAGTGTGGTATGCCACTATTTCTATTCTGGGCTCAGAATACTTTCCTCAGTTTCCATCCCTTTGAGTCACTTCAGGCTTTATGCTAGAGTGATGTCTTTTGTAATTGACTTCTGTTTTGTTTTTGTTTTCCTTTCTATTTTAGCTATTTATTTATGTATACTGTGCATGCCTGTGAGTGTATGTGTGGGCATGCACGTGTCATGGTATGATCTGGTATGGGGATGAGAGAACAACTCACAGGGCTCAGTCTTCTGCTTCCCCCGTGCGGCTTCCAGGAATAAAGCTCAGGCAGTGAGACGTCAGGCACCCTTATCTTTGAGCCAGCTGATTTCTTGTGTGCTGTCTGTGTCATTCTGTACATCTGTTGAGTCAGGGGTCTGAGATGCTGCATAGCCAGTGGAAACCGCTGCCCCTGTGAAAGTCAGTGCTCCTCCAGTCTACCCTGTACGCACTTGGCATGAAGAGGGATCCGTTTCTCACTCCTCTTTAAAAGCCTCTTCTTAATGATCAAGTTGGAGAACTTGACAGTTTAAAGTTCTTAATCTCACTTGCCAGGCCCGATTATTGTCACAGTAGTTTTAAGAATTATGTGCAAAGGGAAAGATAAATCCCAGTTATTACTTAGAACTGGTTGCCTTGGTTAGATCCTCCTCCTCCATTTTGCATTGAGACCCCACTGATACTTCAGGGTAGACCCACATTAGCTGTGACTGAACTTTTGTCACTATCTCAGTGACCCATGTTTCTCCCCACCCAGTTATATATTGTTTGCGATGGTTGAAGAAAATAATACATATGAAAATATTTTCTGACATGTAAACTTGCTAGTAAGTATCAGTCATGACCCTCAACACGCAAGCCAACTTTCTCATAAAACTACTCAGAGTCCTTGCTTGTACAGCCTCCTGTCCTGGACCACTCTATCCCAGGCTGCCTCCCATAGGCTGCAGTGTTTGCACTGACATCTTCTCTGTTGTCACTCTCCAAGTTGTGCTGTCCTGTTTCTTAAGAGTTTGTCCCTTCCTTGAACTTCATGGATATGGGTCTCATATTTCATTCATCTTTGTGCTTCTCCTTCTCATTTGTTGACTCTTAGCCCATCCTGGTGCCTGACATAAGAAATGAGTCACCTTTATCAATGTCTTGACTAGTAGCTAAGTAGCTCTGGTTTTTGTCTTGTTATTTGCTGGGGTATCCTTCCTCTAATACCCATAGAATAAGATTAACCTGTCCTAGATAGTTGCTATCTTCTTATCTTGCTACTCAGAGTTTTGTCTTTGGACCAGTAACACGGGCATCCTTGTGAAGTGTTAGGTGTAGACCATGAACTTCAGACAAGACTCTTTTGCCTTTTATTTCTGAATGCAGGTACTTGCGACTGGACTTAGTGGCCTCTACTCATCCCTGCCCACAAAGCTGGAAGAAAAGGGTGAAGAGTGGCACTGTCTTCTGAAAGACGACTGGCTTCTGCTGCCTTCCCTAGTGCAATTCATGAACTCTTTGGAGTTTTGTAACGCAGTCATCCAGGTACTACAACAGCATAAGCCATCGTGGGCTCCAGTCTGCTCAGAGCTTATTTCTTGCTGGGGATTTGAGTGCATAAGCCCCCCTCATTATTCAGATTGCTTCAAAAAGTAACCCTTCACTAATTTTGAGAAGTACTTATAGAATCATGATGCGTTGCTTGAATCCTATTGAATATCTCAAAATGAGTGAAAATGTTTGATAGGCTTCTGAAAGTTTCAATTGAGAACAAATGAAAAGATTTTATTTTCTCCATAAAAAGTGTTATTCTGTTTTGATTATCCACTTACCCATCAAAAATAAGTTCACTGGCTGGCTCATTAAATAGATATTTTTAGGCTGCTTAAGTACTCCAAATTATAACCCTTTTATTTCAAGGTCTTCCTGGGAGCTTACAAAGGAAAACATTTTATTTTGCTTAATGGTGCACACTACATAAAGAATATTGTTATCCCAATTGAGTTTGGAAGAAGTTAACAATCTTCTTAGCTACACAAATTAAATTTTCTTTGAAATTGGCTCGCTTTAGGGGGAAAAAACAGCCACTGAACTCTTGTGTATTTGGCTTTTTCATTAGATTTTTTACCTTCAGATTTCTTCTTACTGTTTCCAATAAAAATCCAATTTTATATATGTTTAAAGGGTGTACTAAGTTTTCATCAAAATTTCATCTATGTAGCATAAATATTACCTTAATATTGGATTTATTAAGTAGTCAGGTTTGTTTTATGGTGAATTTTTTTTTAGGGTGAAAAATGTTAGTTATAATCTGTTTATCTACCAAATAAAGAAATAGCTTCTGGAGGAAAATGAAAGTAAATTACTTTAGTTTCCATCTCATTTTTATTGCTAAGTCAAAGGAAGTTTTATTTGTATTTAAGATAAATGGATTGCATCTTAAATGATTTTCCCTTTAATATTATAGTCTATCAACATTTCCTTGTAGAAATGTATGGAATAAAAATGACGGAACCACTATTAGCTCTTCTTCAAATGCTCACAGAGATTGCCAGTAATTTAAACAGCTAGCCTTACTTCCCTAGAAATTGCTTTTTACTTTATTATTTGGCTGAACCTCTCTCTCTCTCTCCATCTCTCTCTTTCTTCTCTCTCAGTAAAGCTAATGTGCCTGGTGAATAACAGGGAAATTATATATTTATTTGAAATTAAAGGCAAACATTATTTTAAAACTTTTAAATAATGTTGGGGTGAAGAACAGGGAAAATATGTATTTATTTGAAATTGAAGGTAAACATTATTTTAAAACATTAAAATAATTATTTTTGGTTAAGGAACCCCTAAAAGGATTACTTATAAAAATATTAGTAAAGGTTTGTCCATGTTACCATATATTTTGAATATCATATTTGGGAAGCTCAGTACCACCAGCTATGTTTTCTGCTTTTAAACAGCTATCCACTTTTTTAAAGAACATTTTACAGATCCTTTCCTCCCCAATATAAATATTAGAAAATACATCTTCAAGATTCTCTGTCATCACATTAAGGGTATTTAATTATCATTTTCTATAGTTACACTCTCACAAAGGTAGCACAAATGGATATAGAGCCCAGAGGGAGTTTAGGAGCAAAAATTATACTTTCTAATTGATTTATTCATAGTCTATTCATTGTCTTTTTCACGTCAGCTTTAAAATGAACAGTTTTTCTATATTCAGAAGCATAACTTTAGCTGTTTATACTGCCATAGATGTTTTTAAAAATCATGTCATTATGTGGTCTGAAGTATTACTTAACGATGAACATGGTCCAAATTTGGGTTTCCCTTTTAATGTAACATAGACACAGAATTTCTTGGTTTTAAGGTACTGTAGAGGTTGAACCCTGTGTTCTGCTCTGTCTCAGGTGGCTCACCCCTTGATCCGCACCCAGCTTGTCAGCTACATATACAATGGATTCTTGGTTCCAGTATTGGCTCCTGCTCTCCATAAGGTCAGTGATCGCCTGAGACCATCCTCCCTCTGTTACTGGAATTACTGAGGGAAGCTGAGGGAAGATAGCACAGTGTAATGACTCAGCAGTGGATATAACCACCTTCTTCTTGTTCCCAAAGTTCTTAAAAATAGGGTCTTAAAAATAGCCATGGTGTAAGTTGGTGTTGCGGAATGTCAAGTAAGACAGTGTGTAGCAGAGTGTGACTCTGGAGTCTACTTCAGGTCATGGGTGGGGTTGCTGTGAATGTTCTGTTAAACTGTCCTCTGGGCCACATCTTTCATGAACTGAGGTGGACATGGAGAGGGCAGAGGTAGCACAGGTCCCAGAGCTTTACCTTCTCCTTAACCCAACATCACTTTCTATTTTAACAATTTTGTGACAGCAAAAATTAAAATGAAATCACATTAAGGTCCCATCAAAGGTTGGCTGTCTCTTTAGTACCACTCTGAATTCCTTACGACTCTCATTTTACATTTAATAAGTCAGGATTGAGAGTTTATATGAGACACCCATGGACAAAGAATTCTAATTTTAAGGAGTCTTTTCCCTGATTGGGAAAGGAACAAGAATTAATTTACAATGTGGCTTGGGTGAAACGCTCTTCTTTCTGCATATCTAAATTTTGTTTTACATGTTCTCATTTCATGAAATAGAAAAGCCAGAATCTAGCAGCGCTGAAGGGTCACGGTGTGTGCTGATGGCAGGCACATCTGGTTACCAAGCTGCAGTCTCAGTGGAGCTGTCTCTCTCGATGTTCAGTACCCTTTGATCTTAGAACACATTTTGTGAAACAAACTGCACTTGGTCTGATATGGCATTTCCTCGGGTTACTTAGTGTTTTATAGGCACAAAGAGGCCAAGTCTGTGGAATTAGAGCTGTCTTGGGAAATGTAAGGCATGCCATAGGAACACAGGTACCTTCCGTGTTTCTGGGCTGTCCTGTTTGCCAGTATTTTGAGGTCCTGGGATGGGGTAAGTGTCTGGCTTTGGAAGTCTCTAAATCTGTATGCAGAAGAACTATTCTTTTTAGTGGAATACAGTGGAATACAGATTGTCAGTCTTTGCAGTAATTATACATTCCTTCTCATAGTCTTTCTTCCTCTTTTATTCCCATGTTTTCCTCACTGACCTGCTGACATTAAATAATGCTATTGGTAACTATTGTAATAGTGATAACTATTATTACTACTTTCCACACTATTTTGTTATTAATATTAATATACTTTAATGCTCAATACTGATGGAAATTATTTTCACATACTAATGGGTTATCAAGTGATGTTTGGATACATATTTATATTAACATAATGTTGGAGTTAAGTTAAACACATTTAGCTTCTCAAATATTTATTATTTCTTTGTGGTGAAAACTCAACTTGTAGCTTTTCAATGGTATGGCACATCACCATTATCTGTAGATACCCTGCGGTGCTCTGGCGCAGGAGAGCATCTTGCTGTGCTCTCCCTATAGCGTACAATAGTGAGCTGTTTGTAACTGTGGATGAGCTCCGACTCACAGAGCTGTTGTGGAAACCTTTCCACCTCACTTCCTCACGCCACTTAGGAACGAGTGAGTAATGGGCACGAAGGGTGAGTGTTCAACATCCGAATCCACAGAGATGAGCATACTTCCTGAGGAGCTACCATGGGTTTTGTTCTCTGGGCTGTGTCACTATAGAGTGTGCGCATATCCTTAGACTTGAGAAATATGGAAAACCAAATCAAAGCAAACAGAAGAGCAGCACACAAATGAAAAGTGAATGTTACTGTATTAGACTTTAATTTGCAACTCCCCAATTAAGATTCTTTAATTTTTATCCATTACTAACAGTTCTCAGGATATTTCCCATTTAGTATTCTCTCTCTCTCTCTCTCTCTCTCTCTCTCTCTCTCTCTCTCTCTCTCCCCGCTCTTTTTTGAGACAGGGCTTCTCTGTATTATGCTGGAACCTGTCCTGGAACTAGCTCTGTAGACCAGGCTGGCCTCGAACTCACAGAGATCAGCCTGTCTCTACCTCCAGAGTGCTGGGATTAAACGTATGCACCACTAACACCCGGTTTATTGTTCTCTTCCTTATTTTTTTTTTTTTTTCCTATTCTTCATTTGGGGGCAGGGCTGTTTGTATTTTTACCATTTAGAATTGAAAGGATTAGGAAGGCAGGGACAACCTCCCCTCCACCTCTGGCTCTCTTAGTGACAACTGATAGGAGTGTGACCCAGAGCAGCAGCCCAGGGACAGAATGCAGAGATGTCAGAGCTGAGCGTATCTTGAGGACTTCCCACTGGGAGCAGTCATACCCTATTTCTTGCATCTTCCCCTTGGGTGCTGAAAAGGTTACTTCATGTCTAGGCTCAGGTCTGCAGTAGGAATTCCCATTATGCTTTGCAAACGTCAGGTCTGGTGCCCTGACAAAAGAGCCTTAGTCCTCCAAATAAAAGTCCTTTGTGCACTCTCTACACCATGCATAACTTTTTAGTCACTTGTCATCAGTGTAGGCAGCTTATAAAGGCGGACTTATTCTCTCTGCCTCATAAATCATACAGATATTCCATACTTAAAATTTCCTCCACATTACAGCCTCTGAGGTTTCTCCCTACTGCTGTATGTGTGCATGGGACGCTACACTCCAGAGCTCTACCGTGTGTGCTTTCTTCATCCAACATGGACACATGGCCACTTATTCCTCTGGCTTAGTGCAAAGGCTCACACAATTCTTTTCAAGGGGCTGCATGGCTTTTTTCGGCAGTCATGTACAAGTTGAACACAGAGAGCTGTGGGGCTGGGAGAAGAGGGTGCTGAGCATGTGTGAGGCCTTGGGTTTAATCCCTAGCATGAGAAAAAGGGTAACTCAGGAGCCCTGAACACGGAACTTTTTCATCAATTCGTTCATCACACCACTTAACCATACTAAGTGCATTTGGTGTCTGCCTCTACCTGAATCATCCCAAGGTTGTTGATTTTAACCTACTTGTGTTAATATTTTTAGGCTTTTTGGAGAAAATATTAATAATATACATGGCTTATTTTGCTAACCTAGACCTTCTGAGGCTTTTATATAAAACATGACAGAAAAATAAATACATCATTCTTCTAAAAGTTTTGAATTACCAAATACATATGACCTCCAGATTTTGGAATAAGAGATGTGAAGCCTACTTTGAATGTTTTTGGAAAAGGATAATTTTTTTTTTAAATTTATCTTTTTATTTTCTACCCTGACCTCAGTTTCTCCTCCCTCCTCTCTTCCCATTCCCTCTCCACACCTCCAACCACTCTTCATCTGTTTCTGTTCAGAAAGGAGCAGGCCTCCCATGGGTATCAACAAAAGATGGCATATCAAGTTTCAGCAGGACTAAGCACCACCCCTTGTAGAAAGGCTAGGCAAGGCGATACAGTATGAGGAATAGGTTCCCAAGAACCTGCCAAAGTGTTAGGGGCAAGCCCTGCTCCCTTTGTTAGGAGTCCCACAAGTAGACCAAGCTACCCAATTGTTACATATATGTAAAGAGCTTAGGTAAGTCTTATGCGGGCTCCCTAGTTGTTGGTTCAGACTCTGTGTTCCTATGAGCCAGGTTAGTTGTTTCTTTGGGTTTTCTTGTGATGTCCTTAGCACCCCTGGCTCCTACAATCTTTCTGCCCTCTCATCATCAGGATTCTCCTTTAGGATTCAGCCTAATGTCTGGCTGTGGATCTCTGCATCTGTTCCATCAGTAACTGGATGAAGGTTCTGTGATGACAGTTGAGGTAGTCATCAATCTGATCACAGGAGAGATGGCTGGTTCAGGATATATATCCACTATTGCTTGGAGTCTTAGCTGGGGCCATCCTTGTAGATTTGTGGGAGTTTCCCTTGCATCAGGTTTCTATGTGATCCTGAAATGCCCCCCTTTCCCAGTCATCTCTTTTAGTACCCTCAACCTCCACCAACCCCCAACCCGATCCCTCAAATTCCTATACCCACCCACCCCCAGTCCAGCCAGGAGATCTCTTCTATTTCCCAGGGAGATCCATGCACCTGATCCTGGGCCCTCCTTGTTATCTAGCATTTCTGGATTTATGAATTGTAGCATGGTTATCCTTTATCTTACATCTAATATCTATTTATTAGTTAGTACATGCCATGTTTGCCTTTCTGGGTCTGGGTGTCCTCACTCAGGATGATTTTTTTTTTTTTTTTCTAGTTCCATTCATTGGCCTTCAGATTTCCTGATGTCATTGTTTTTAACAGCTGAGTAATGTTACATTGTGTAAATGTGCCACATTTTCCTTATCCATTCTTTGGTTGAGGGGCATCTAGGTTGTTTCCAGTTTCTGGCTATTGCAAATAAAGCTGCTATGAACATAGTTGAGCAAATACCCTTGTGGTATGAGTGTTCATCCATTGGGTATATGCCCAAGAGTGATGTAGCTGGGTCCTGAGGTAGATTGATTCTCAGTTTTCTGAGAAATTGTCATACTGATTTCCAAAGTGACTGTACAAGTTTGCTTTCCCATCAGCAGTGGAGGAGCATTGCCCTTTCTCCACATCCTCTCCAGCATAAGCTGTCATTAATGTTTTGGATCTTAGCCACTCTGACAGGTGTAAGTTGGTATCTTAGAGTTGTTTTGATTTGCATTTTCCTAATGACTAAGGATGTTGAACAATTCTCTTTTTTAAAATAAATTTTATTTAAATTAGAAACAATCTTACTTTACATATCAATCCAAGTTCCCTCTCCCTCCCATCCTTCCATGCCCCCCACCAACCCCCCATCCCATCCCCTATCCACTCCCCAGGGCAGGTGAGGCTTTCCATGAGGGATCATCAAAGTCTGTCAAGTTATTTGCATGTATCTAGGCTAAGAGAGTATTCCTCCATGGGGAATGGACACTCAAAGTGTCTGTTCATGCACTAGGTAGGGATAAATACTGGTTCCACTGCCAGGGGGCCTGGTTGGGATCTGTGAGCTCCCACTTGTTCAGGTCAGCTGTTTCTGCAGGTTTCTCCAGCATGGCC